TTCTTCCATCCTGGCGTGAGGACAAATCGATGATTTGTTGAAGAATCAGAGTTAATGATAGCACACGGGGACTGAGGCTCTCTACCACCACGAATGCGACACCAGTTGTAAACTCCTTCCGTTCATTCATTTTAAGAAATGTCACAAGGACTTGTGCTTTTCCGCCGCTGTCCCTCCTAAGGCGATTCGCGAACGGCTGTCTTTAGTCTTAATGGACCCAGCATTCCAGCTGCATGCCAGCTGTTCACCCTAATAGATACCATACATCATTTAAATTAAATAAACATATTTTTACACAATGCAGATTAAAGAAGAAGAAGAAGAAGCAAATGAGACGCCATACGCGCAGTGCATGCTTAATCAATTGGCAGCAAAAATTTAGCTACATTTTTTTTTCTTTTCAAAGACATATAAATCATTTCATTGTACTATTCACAGAAATCTTCCGCATTAATAATAGAATGCCAAAATATTTAAAAATTAGCAAATAGAAAATTTTATTTTTTTTATTTTCTTACTACAGAGTTTTTCAATAAGAAATGTTATTTTGAATTTTATACAAAAATAACACTTCATGAGATAAATGATTGGATGTAAAGAGAAAGATATGCCATTAATAATCGAATACGATATCAGCCAAATGGACATCACCGTTACAGGACCGTATCCTTTATATGAAATTTTACAACACCAAATCGCAAAGCGGCTGCTATATGCCCGCATTAGCTTCATGAATTCCAACTGTGAAGTCTATAATCGACGTTGGCCTATTGGAGTAGTCCTTTTCTTTCACGTGACCCCAAAGGCAGAAGTCGGTAGGTATTAAGCCACAAGATCTCGGTGAACAATTGCGATCAGCTCTTCTAGGGATGTCACGAAGTGGAGGCTTTTCTCTTAAAAGATCGATGGTTTCATTGCTTTTGTGGCACATAGCGCCTTCTTGTTAAAAGTAAACGTTGCTCAGATCCCTTTTCGGACATAGAAAAACATTAATCATCTCTTGAAAGCGCAATTCATGCACCGTAACTGTTAATCCGGTCTCATTTTCGAAACCGTAAGCTCCAATAACCTCACTGGACCATAATCTGCACCAAAGAGTTGCACGTAGAGGAGGATGGTAAGGCTTTTAAACAATAAATCTCCGGCTTTCCGCGACCCAAAAGCTACAGTTTCGCTTATTGACGTAGTTATCGAGGTGGAAATGAGCCTCAATAGTCAAGATGAGTTTTCAATGAAATTTTGGAGCATTTTAATACATTTCAAGTACCAAATCAGCAAAGACACGGAGTTGTTGACGAACGGCCGGCTGGAGCTCTTGGGTTAACCCGACTTTATCAGCCGTAAGATCCAAGTTCTTATACCAAAAGCGATGTAATAATGTTTGAGGAACGCCACTGGCAAAGTACGAAGAGTAATGGACCAACCTGGAGTTTAATCAACACTTTAGGCTGCAGCAGCAATATTCTGAGTTGTTCTTGAGCGCGGTGCCCGTATTTTATTCTTCACATCACTTACTTGACCTTACCCCGGCATTTTTCCGCCAATTTTTGTATTGGTCCGATAAGGTGCTTCACGAGGACCGCCAAATCTTTTCGTTTGACAAATCGCGTCTGTCAGGTTTTCACCACTTATATGGTGAGTTTTGATAACATCTGTTATAGTGTAGTTCGTTCCATTTGTATTACTGGCAAAATGTCAAAAATTTACAGCTTCAAAAGTGACATATATCGGAACTGCAGGCTTTTCAAAATGCCACACCACATTTGAAACTCTTTATTTTAATTGCCTCCTGAAGACCGAACTTCCGCTCATCTACTTCTTTTTGTGAGTAATTTATTTTTTATTATGTTTTAAGCAACTCAGTAGAGTTTTCAAATATCATTACAAGTTACCCAGTTAGATTTCGAAAAAAAATATATTCTGATTTTCTTGGCCAAGAAATGACAACAGCCGCTTATAATGTCTTAAAAGCTTTGTTTTGCGAAGAAAGAAAAATGTAAAGAAATTAAACAAAAAACATGCAGTCGATCTTTCGCATTATTAACGCTCCAATATCACTCTTTTTTTCAAAATTTCTATTGGCGAATCGATTTTATGTCACTGCCAACTGAGCCACGAAATAATTACTTCATCTCTGCGCATACAGTGCGTGCAAAAGTAAACATACGCAATTGTAATTCAACACATGTACAAATATTAAGTGGCTTTATTATGTATATATGTATGTACTTATAATGAGATTTATAGCTTTCTTAAAAATTTAATGAACCGAAAACGAAGCATAAAATACAAAAAAATAAAAAACACTCGCTCAAAGAGATAAAGAAAAGCTTGGGAAATTTGTCAATCATCAGCAGGTAAATATGTCTATTCAAGCATACATTATATGTATGTGTACATATATATTATATACACATAGTAGTATATGTACTTCTAGTTGTTTGCTTGGCAAATAAGTCAATAAGCATATTTAAAAATAATTATATAAATATGTCAATTGTAAATTGGTCAATAAGATGATTTTTTTTTTCACAGTGGTGGCGAAAAAATTAGTGCGGCTATGAATTAAATAAAAAAAAAATAATGGGAAAATGTATACGATTATATATAAAAACGTTTATATATTTGTGCTCTGTGGCTAGTGGAAATGTTTGTATAAAATTTTTTTTCTTGATGAGTATCAAGTGAACTAGTGAAATTCCCTACAAAGATGGCTTTCCATTTAGATTAGCAGGAATCACGAAGTAGATCGATCTATTCGGAAAATATATATAAATTTTCATGGTTCGTTTTAGTTAAATTTTTTGATGATATGCCTAAGTGGAATATAAGTTTCCTGTAGATAGACCAGGGACCTGAAACCAAGCTCGATTTGCTAGAAATAGAAATGATAAATTCTTTACGGGGATGGGATCACCGACGGATTGGCGTAAACTAATATAATTTAAATATAAACATATTTCGCATCGCGTTTGTAGTATTCTGCGTCTGATGTTTTTAAGCTATACCGTTACGCGTTCAACTCTAGTGTAAAAGCGTAAATCCGAATGGTGCGTTTGACTTACTTCGACGCATTCATATTGACATTTTCGTGAAAGACGATGAAGTGACCCAAACTGTGTATTGATACTTATTGCAATTACTGTGGAAGCAGAATAAAGACAATCAATCCAGGTTAATGAATAATGCCACGCGTTCTGTTATGTTTCTAGTGCAAGTGCCATTTTTGTTCTCTTAGCAAATTAAAGTAAACAAAGAGAGTCCGAGATAGTCAAATAGAGATTTTGTGCGTCAATAGGAAATATATCGGGACCGCTATAATGGACTTTAAGAAACTTAGCCTGTTAGCCTCACAACAAAAGAGTATTTTTCTCCCTCACTCTCTATCTCTCTCTCCCCCTCTCTCACTCTCGCTCTCTCTCTTCTTCTCTCTCTCTCTCCCCTCTCTATCTTCCTCTCTCTCTATCTCTTTTTCCCTCTCTCACTGAATGGAACTGAAGATATGAAAAGAAATCGGACAAAAAATATAATGAATGCTATTTTCGAAGCTTCTGAATTGACTTCCTGTTCCTTTTGTAATGCGTCTCGCTGTTTCCCAACAAATAGATATCCTTATAGCTTTTTCTAAGCTGTCTCTGTAAGGACGATTAATATTTATGACAATCTTTTTATTTCATGTTAAAAATACCATCGTAGAAGTTGATATTGCATGGCGAGAGGTGACCGCATTTAAAAACCTTTTTTTCTATACATTTTGGGCTGTAGGATTGGTGAGAATTTAAATGTAGGACCCACCCAGTGGTAGCAAGAGCCACAAACCGCATGGTTACTTCCATCGAAATCCCTTTATTCAGGCTTAAAATAATCGAAGAAAGAATTAAAACCTCCGATAAAAGTCGACGAAGACGTTCTCGATTACCCATTGCGGATCATTTGAACTTTTGCTTCCGTTCCCTTAGTTGCTTAAGTGTGCGGTCTTCAAAGAGCTACTCCTAATGCCCTTCTTCGATGTCACTATCTAGCTAACTCAACCACTGTAATTTAAGGGTAGTCTACTTGAGTCCACTCGGAGTAGAAACCATTTGAGCAGACAGATGAGCTTTTCCCAGTTCCCTCTGGAAAAAGGACTAGGCCCCATTGTTGGGTTCCCTTGAGCCAATTGCTGGGTTGTTTGGTAGCTCGTAGACAATATTTTAGGTCAGCCCATTTCTTGTGCGTCTCTCCACATTGCTAAACGTACCCAACAGCCTATTACGGAGGATTGTCTCCACAAATTTTATTGCTCTTCTCGAACTGTTTGCGAGCGTGTCCTAACAGGCGAAAATTCGTTTCGGAGATTAGTTGAATTGAGTTGTTGCTAGATCTGCTGTCTGTTGTGAAACCGGTATTGGTTTCTCTCATTTGAGTGAATGCTCAAGAAAATGCACGATACACATTTTTTTTGTCCGCCACTGTACTCGTATGTACTTACTCGCTTAGGTAAATATGCCCACTTTCGAACGAAGAAGATCTTTTATAGATTAAGTAAGCAACATTTTAGAGCGTTGATCACTAATCTGAGATAACTAAATGCCGAACTCATTGCCGTTGGAGGCTTCGTCTCAGTGCGTGTGTCTGTGTGTGTGTGGGCGTGTGTGTGTATAATCGAACTTGCGTTGGAGAGATGTGCGAAATACCTGCTGCTTGCGTTTTGTCCCGCGCCAACCGACGCTCGCATAAGTTGAAGGGTAGAAGAGCGAAGCAGAGATGAAGAGGTGAAGAGGGTGTGGCAATTGGATGTCTAAGAATTGCTCGGTTAAACTATTTAACAACGACATGGCTATTTGCAGACTCCGAAATTGTTTTCATAAGCACAAAACTTAGCTCATATGTGTGCGTATATGTATGTATGAGTGCGTATCTGTAGGGCTTTTGTCCAACTCAGCCAAAAAGTGCTTAGCCAATATTGGCCTATAAATTTGTAAGCCACTCAAAAAGACATTAACAGTTCACTACGAGTATGGTTAATGATCAGTTGCGAATTGACTGATCGATCTGATTTGTTTTTTTTTCACGCGCTCACTTCGGTTTAAGTTAATTCTGATCAACCGTTATATAATAAGTTGTGGAAACGATGAAATTGTACTTCATACTTGCGGCTTGTGTCCTGGCCACACTTGCGCCATCCGCACACGCTTTACTGGGCGCCAAATTAGCGCTCCTGGGCTTGGGTAGAAATCTGATTAGTGGAGGCGCCGCCGGCGGTGGTAGTAGTGATGGTGGCTACGGCAGTGGCAACTACAATGGTGGCTATTATGGACAGCAAAGTCGTGGCGTCTACAATGGTGGCTACGCCAATGGTAATGGTTATGGTGGCTATGGACGTCAGTCATATGGCGGTAACTATAATTATGGCGTAAGCGGTCGATATGCCGGTGGCTACAACAGTGGTGGTTACAGCAGTGGCGGTTACGCTGGCGGCAATGGTGGCGAACAAGTTGTACGTATCATCAAGGTTATTGTGCCAAGTGAAAACGTCGGCTCCTCAGTGAACTACGGAAGCGGCGGTTACTCAAGCGGTGGTAGTTACTCAAGTGGTGGTTACGCGAATGGTTACTCAAGCGGTGGCGGCTACTCCACTAGTGGTTGGACACCCATCCCCGCGCCACCAACAGTACGTACTGTAGTACAGGCACCCGAACCAGCGCCTGTACAAGTGCCTGTTCAGCAAACTTATATCTCTGCACCCGCGCCACCACCACCACCACCACCACAGGTGGTACAAGTAGCACCCGCACCAGCGCCCGTACAAGTGCCTGTTCAGCAAACTTATATCTCTGCACCCGCGCCACCACCACCACCACCACAGGTCGTACAAGTAGCACCCGCACCAGCACCAATTCAGACTACATACGTTTCAGCGCCAGCGCCACGCCCAGTTATTCGTGTTACACAATTACCGCAACCCATACAGTATTCAACACAAGTTGGTCAAGTAAGCTCCGCACAAGTCTACCAGGTGCAATCGCCGCCCTCAATACAATTGCAGCCACCAGCACCACAACCGTTTCCACAACCAGTTCCACAACCGATTCCTCAACCTTCCCAACCTGCGCAGGTAGTGAAAACCATAAAGCTCATTGTCGATGAAAGCGACGACAGCGTACAAGTTCCAGCTCAAACTTACGGTCCACCACCACAGCCAGCAGCGCAGAACAACGGTGGTTGGAGCAGTAGCAGCAGTTCGTCGGCTGGTTGGAACAATGGCTGGAATAACGGTTACAAGCATGGTGGCATCTGGGAGAAACTCGGCTGTTAGACAAAGCCAAGCGCAAAAATCTAACTCAAAAACGATCTATGAAATAATGTTTATTTTATAAAGTCTTAACTACGAAAATCTGTTGTCTAAAAAAAAATGTTTTATTATGAATAAAGTTCGATAATTCTTTTTCAAACTTCCTTTAAGTAAAATTTTTGGGATTTTTTTTGACAAACACTGCGGTTAAAGCAAATGAGGTGGGAGCTTATTTAACAGCTTCACGCTAATTAAAGTTTGCGCTAAGCGGCATTTTTAGTTGAAATAATTATCGATAATTTTTGTGTCAACAGTGATGACATCATTAGTAGCTTTTCTATTGAGATTTATGATGTGTGGCCTCCTTCAAGGTAAGGAAGGTGGTTATGAGTTTCCTGGTATCGATGATCTATGCATTTTTCAAAAACAAGCTTTGACCTTAGTTCTTCAACTTTTCTTTGAGTACCAGTTTTGGAACGCTCCAGTTGCAGAAAAATGAAATTTTTTGAGATAAATGTAATGAAAATAGTAGGCTTTCCGAGCTTCATATGAGAGGGCTTGACTTATTGTGATAGCCATCGCGGGGGAAATGGGTCTCGTCAGTCAAGTTGATTTTCCAATCAAATTACGCATCATTTTCTTGAAATTCGACGACCCAATCAGCAAAGACACCACGTTGTTGATGATCGACCGGCTTGAGTTATTGTGTTGACTGATCTTTATAAACCTTAGGACCTAAGTCTTCCTCCAAAATACGCTGCATCGCCCAATTCCAAGGAACGACGAGGAATGAACCAACCTTCTGGTCCTTTTCATGCATTTCAAGGACCCAACGGCCACGCAGAAAATTTAGAACGATACTCGATCCAGCAAACACCTTAAATAAGAGCACACAGACTTGGAATTAAACCTTAGCTTAGCTTAAACTTTCGTAAGCTCATCAACCGAGTCAATAACATCACATAAGTCATTTCTTCTTTCTACAACCAGCCGTCAATTAGCGATAGCAAGTGTGGTCAGTAATAGCCGCAACCAAATCCGTATTTTGACTATGTCTGAGTTCCGGATACATAAGATTCCCAAAATCGCTCCAGCCGCGCTGGTCAAACACAATGAAAGGAAAGGGAAAGTGAACACTAAAAACATGTTTCACAAACGCTGCGTGGTCGCAAGACGCGCAGTTTGTCAAACGACCAATGGAGCTAAGCCCAAAACAGACCTTCTGCAAGGGACTGGCTCCGAAGATATGTAGTGTCCTGCAGTTAGGAACCACAGGTCTTACGAAGACGTGGCCAATCTCATTTACAATGCCATTATGGCTCCAGGAAGACTCGGAGAAAGCACGTCGTTTGAACAGCAAACCTTGCTTCAAGCGTCGTTCAGTAATGGTCAGTGTCGACCTCATCTTTACGTTACTTTCGGACAGATTTGAATTTAAGATCGAGGTTGATGACCTGACTGCAAGCGGCCGTCCTTAATCTAATCTGTGGCTCATTATGCTCTCACGCGTATCCGAACTATGCTTCTGCGAACAGTTGACTCAATTTAAAGAATTAAATTAAATCTTGGACTTCTCTTGGTTTATATCTCCAAAGGTGATCACAGGGGCTTAGTTATGGAAGTGAGACTAAATTCTTGCCCTGAAACATTGGCTTATGCTTAACCGAGAATGATTTAGTTGAGAGATTTCTTTAAGCTCACGCCGATTTGGAAATAACTGATTATATTTATGGCTTTGGTGTCACGCTAGTGCTTAATACAGGATGTGAGGGCATAGACTAGACTAGACAGACAGGTCTAATGACTAATAGGCTGACAAATTATGTTAGGGATGTTGGATATTATTTGGAGCCAGGGTGGACTCACAATTGCGTAGGCGAAAAAGGCAGAGAGGGTGGACTGACTCCAATTGACTGTTCCTCTCACCTCTTGCCTTCACCTCATTTCTTACTTATCACCTTACTTCACTCCATGAATTTTTCATAAAGGTCACGGGGGATTTTTAAATTTTATGTCTCATTCTGCGAGCTAGTTTGAGCGGAGAACCACCATGTCTGAAAGCCGTTTTCGTTTTGATATCACGCTTAATGAGGAAGTTTTCTGCAGCAACTTCTCGTCTATGCTCTGGGTACGGCTCTCGAAACCCATAACAGGCATTGGACTAAACTGTTAATTTTTTAAGGTCGAATAAGGACGAATAAGGAGTCGCTTTATAATACTTTTGTGTGAGGAGAACTGTTGCAGTCCAGGTTTTGGCCCGCTAGAATTTAATCCATACATTCGAAGAGTACATCAAGAACCCTCCAAAGATGTTGTACGAGTACTCCATGATTCCTCTTAACCCACAAAAACTTTTCTTCACCACACCTCTGCCTTTTTGATAGTCACACGTTTGGTTTGATCTCTTGTCTAAGCCACTTTACATCAGTTAGTTTCTTGAGAGACTAAGGAAGAAGCATACAGTCGGTGCTTCTAAGGGCTGCACTTCTCTCAGAAAGTTGTTTTTAATGCCTATCAAAGGTAAAACCACTTCTCAACTCGAAATCTCTTACGTAGGCTTAACTCTCACCGTCTTAAGTTTATTAACAAGAAGTTAAGCTTACTCTTAAGTCCTAATACCGAATCTTCCAACCAATTCTTCAACCATGATTTTCCATGCTCTCCACATTGCTGCAGGTTTACGTATCAAAATAAGAATCAGTATGTGACAATCAAAGGTACACATGGAACTCAATGCGCGCTGATGCACAGCGAATTACATCCGTTACTTAATTGATAATGAAAAAATATGCAATAATTGTCTTAGAAGGTTACCCACTTGTGAGCTTAAGTACAGAAGCTAAGGCGTATATAAAGGTGACAACTCTGAAAGAGTTCTTTATTTAGCTGCGACGACAACTTGAAAAGGGAAACGGTCTACAAAATGATGACGCAAAAAGCAAACATTTTCAAAATATTACTCTTAATAATTTTGCTTGCCATAACCACACGAGAGCTGCAAGCGAACCATATACGCACGAAAGAAGCGCAAAAAGACTTGAGCGACGCTAATAAATTGCGCGCAAAACGTGAACACAGCACAAGCGGTGGCGCGCCAAATGGTGGGTTGTTGTATAAAGCAGAATTAATTTAGAAAACTTCATATTCTTTAAATTCAAATTTATTAGATTACGGACCCGCCATAAAAATCACTTCCAGCATTTTACAACTCACCAAATCAGCAGCTGAGGGTAGCAGCAGCTCGGGCGATATTGGTTTGCAACATCATGAGACAACGCTTGAGCATCCCTGGCCAGCAACTAGCGGCTTAGAGTTGCCCACTACCCAAACTGTATGGTTGGAATTGTCTGGTGGACCACAGACGGATTTTCATTTGATTGCCGTGCCGGATGTAAGTAATGCTCATATTCCGCAAGCCCATGACTTTGGTGGTGGTCTTAGTGGGTCAGCACCCAACAACAACGATTCGGGTTCCACTCTATCGAAGGGTTTGCATACGCAGATCATCAGCAGCGGTAAAGGTACTACGCAAGTCAGTGACAATCTAGACTTTGGCGATGTGGCGGAGGGTAAAGCGAAGGGCAATTATCGCATATCGTATGGTAGATAAGAAGAAAAATTGATTTGAGGATTTGTACCTCAGTTTTTGTGTTATGAAAATATATGTGGTAACCCATTTCCCAAAAAAGTTTGTGGTAATCGATTCCGAATTTCGGCATTGTCCAACCCTGCATGTCCATCTTTGTAAGGCTAGAGTTGGGAGTATCTGAAGACAAAGCACTCGAGGATGTAGTCTTTTCGACTTTTTTCGTACATACTATGCACTCAGGCCTAACATATTCTGTAGAGTTCACTGCACTCTTAAGAACCTTTGAGTAGCAGACAATTTCGTCTATCTAGGAACCTGTATTAACATCTGCAGCCATCTGTTAACCTTGAAACCCAGCATCAGATTCTCTCCCAACGAACAAATAGCAATCTCTACAACAATGGAGCTCTGAGCAGTTAACGGCATCCACTGAGTTGGCATTAGGCGTCTTCGAGAGAAAGGGTTTGCATAAATCTTGCATATTAGCAAAAGCGATCGCCGTAGATGGGGTAATATTGAGCTATACGAGATATATGCCGACATACCCGGCTGTACGTAGGAGACTTGAAATGCCGTCCATATCGAGTTGCTGATTAGACCTTAGGACGTAGGCTCATATGGAACTCTAACTAAGTATCTTGATGGATTTTCTTGTGCTCGAATTTCGTATTACAAACAATCTTATTTCACACTCCAGTGAATTCCACCAGCCGCAACCCATTTAGGAGTATTTCGTCAGGGATACGGAATTCTCTGGTTGTTGCCCCGACTATTTTTTCTTTGTCCACATTAAAGTCGTCTAGCACAACTTACCCTCTTTTATCCTTCTACAGTTTATTGCACTTGGTGCACGGCGGTGGGGTCAGTATTTAGTCGTACGAGTGCTTCAACCGTTATTGTTATTTTCCCTTTCATTAAGGACTGGATATTTCAGTCCCATGCTCTCAAATTGCGGGCCTAAAAATGCCTGCAGGTAGCAGGTATCGCCTGCTCAACATAAACTTTTTGTGATTTTTTATTGGGGTAGATTTTTTTATGTGGTGGTGAGCTCGCCTTCTCTCTTTAGCTCGCCCAGGGCTGAACTCAGAAAAAAATTAGCAGAAGAGAGTCAGACCTAAGCAAATACTGACTACGCTATGGCGGAAGATCTGGCACGATCTAATATTTTTCTAATATTGCAGCGAAAAGGAAAGACGTCTGACGGAATATTATTGACTTAGCAGCTTTACCCTAACAGGATCAGGTGAAGACAGATCTGGCCGCACCTGGTGTCTTCAATTGGAGTGAAACAGCAAAAGGAAGGTTATAATTCCGTAGGCGGTGTCTAAAAGGATGCCAATATGAGCATCAGAAAAACTTTCATCCTCTTTTTGTTAATATTTATTACTAAGATTTTAATATTATTTTTTTAACTAAAAAAAAATTATTTATACCAACCACAGTATTTCATTAAAATACTTATTTTCCCAGAAAAAGAAATATTATTCTATAATACTGCACCGAATCAGCCACACAGATCACTTTTTTCGCTTCCAAACTCACTTAGATACATATATAAAAAACCACTTTTTTAAAGAATTCTTTTTTTTTTACAAGCAACCGCATCATACTTTTCACACTTCCCACTACCGCCCGCTCAATACAATCCCTTCTGTTCGTCATGCTTGTGCTCGTACAAAGTGCTGTAGCTAAAAGCGCCCTTGCCATGATCAATACCCACGACAGGCTGCTGGTGATAGTCATCATGATAATCCCCATGGAAATCGAAATTCTCCAAATATTCATGGCCAACACCAAAATCAGCGGTGTGTGCGATCTCTTGATGCTGCTGCGTAGCCGCACCCTCCGCTTCCTCATAGTCCTCAGCCGTGGCGCCGTGATCATCTGCATAGTCGGCGGGGAAATGTTTCACATCCAAGTGATCGCCAGCTGTGCCCAGCGACTCCACGTGCTCATCACCATCATCAGCACTACTACTAAAGTCATGCGTCTCTACATCCGCACTCAGCTTCGGCAAGTGCAATTCACTAACGGCCTTGGCCGCACTCAAGAGACCAGCATGGCTGCCTAGCGGACCAGCATTGTAGATCGCCGTTTGTATGCCTTGAACTTCCAGATGATTGTCGTAGGGCACGTGCAGGGCGGCACTCAATGTGGCACAACTGATGGTCAGCGCACATGCGCAGGCAACTATTTTGGCAAGCAGCAGCGACATTTTCTTTTATGAGTTTGAAGCGATTCACTGCAATGTGTTCGCGCCGGCACTTGGATTTTCGAATTCGGTATTTCAGCTTAGCGTTTGCCTTTATATTATTTGGTTTTTTACTTTTATTTACTACTCGTATTAGCGTTTATCGTTGTGATGTTGGTGTCCAACTAATTTTTCACGTCCAACTTCATGCGATTTATATACGAAAACCGGAGAGCAGCCGCGATGCCATAAAATAGCCAATTCATCGGTATGTGGAGCGTACAATGTCTTTGCACTTGCACTTTTCGTTGCATCTTTGGGTGGTGGTGGTCGGAGAATGCAATGAAATGGCATACATACATCATTTCTACATACACTTTGTGCCAAAATTAATGGTAAAGCTACATGTAGTTCGGGTTCGGAGTTATTGGAGAAAGCAGCAGGCTTCGGAAGTCTATATCGGATGGCAGTAAGAGAGGGTTAGAGTCCAGTTGATCTGGGACTTTTATCTCGTCGGGCAATCCACTTTGATACATATGCATAAAAGGAATCCATGACTTCCAGTTATAAGCAAATGGACAATCTGCTGCGAGATCTTTATCTCAGTGGCTCTAGATAAGCTACTAATCTCCTTTATCAGAAGGCCACACTGTCCTGCGGAACTTGTAGCCTGTTTGCTCTGTGAAGTGCTCAAGATCACGTTAGTTTTTAAGTTCTGAATCGCTCCAGTAGCGGGAAAATGAGTCAAATTTTATGCCCTCTTTATTTGCCTCTTATTCCTCTTTTCGTTAGATTTATCTCAGAGATTTCGGTAACTAATACCCTTTACTGACATGGGCTCATAATATAATATTAGTGGCTCTATGAAGGCGACCACATTAGTTGAGTGGTTGGCAGGTGACAAACCAAAATTATTAGGTGAGAGGACGGTTATGCAGGAACGGATAGCACAGTCAGGTCCTTCGTCACCTGATCTTCCTGGCGGAATGGAGGTGAGGTCTGCTTTACGATTTCAAAATAATAACTCTTAACAGAGACGAGGGATCTCAAAATCCTGGGCGCTAAATGTTTCTTTAAAGCCAGGTGATATTTCGTCACGTCCTCGTTCGTCACTAGATGCTTCCGCCTCGCTTACTTATCTGAAGTTTTAAGAGTTCCAGGATAATTGGCTTATATTTTCAGAGTCTCCTCTTTGAGGACTTAGCTGAAGAAGCTTAAGTATCAAGCGACAAGCGTGCACTCATTCGTATTTGTTGGAGCCAATTATTTATATCTCGTAAGCATATCGTACTTCAGCGGTTTTTAACTCTTGTAGAGAATTGCAAAACGGTTTTTCCCGATCCTGACAGAGCTTTTTACTAATACTCAACACCAAACCGAGCTCAGGCAGTGCAGCATAGAGAGAGGTCCTTTCCGAGTCTTAAGCTACATTAGTAGAGTCCAATTATTTCGTTGACAGAACCTTAGTTTTTGCCACTGTACGTTCGATAAGACTTCATGTGCGGTATTGAAGGAGCTTATCTTACAATATTTGGAGCAGATTAAGGGGTCGTCTTCCTATGGATTTCATAGAGCACAATGAGGTTCTCATGCACAACTTTAAAATTACAGGCACTTCACCGTTATGTTCGTTATACTCGATTATATTGAACGTTTAAGACATCATCATCGGTTGGGAATTCCGGTTCATTATCATCGCCAATCGGAAGGCTGGCAAAGTTTGCACTCGATATGTTCTTGGTATCCGTCCCCAAATTATCAACTTGGTTCCTACATGAATATGATCTGATCTTAAAACCTGCGGTAAGACGAAGGAACTTCTCGAACCGTCGAACATCACCCTGTTGGCCTGTTTTTCTCAAGCTTGCAAAACTCATATAATTCGGCCTTTTATTTGTTATTTCTGCAATCGACAATCCACATCGTAGATTTTTTGAAAATCAAATCAATCAAATCTGTAGCGGCGGTAAGTAGGGAGTTCGAGTTGTCGTTCCACAGCTCGCTTTTTATGGATTGTTGATGAGGACTCGCATAGAACAGTAGTGCGAATTGAGTGGAGAACCGGAGTGCTGTTTCATGTGATTGCAGCTTTTCGATGTAGACATTTTAATGTATTTTCTTAGGGTCATTCTTTGCTGCATAGATACGGATGTGTCCCTTGCTTCGACAAGATAGTGGTCGTAATCGATAAGTGGTACTCGGAACGTACACACATCTAGAATACCAGAGACATGTCGTCCGTCTATATCGATTTGGTTGCAAGTTTTCCAACCGAAGACAGCTAAGTAGCTTGATGGATATTCTTAGGCGAAATATTAGTGCTACAGTCAAGGATATTTTGGGCCACGGCGAAATCCCTCATCCTCAGCTTTAGCCCATTTGCCTATGTGCTTCGTCGTTATTTGTAGGTACATAATTTTAAGATTTCCCTGAGTGACGTACTCCTTTTTGCGCATACTGTACACATAATAAGCTGGTTGGCCATGCGTTTAAAAAATAAGTTGCTCTACCAAAAATTTTACATTTTCAATTCCATTTCTCATTTGCTTTTACAAGCGCATTTATTCGACTACTTTCTTATGAGCATTTGTTTTATTTATTTATCTAATATTTTACATACATATATACGTATGTACATCTATTGGCCTATATAATTTCATTGCTGTGGAACGTGTTTTTTTTATTGGGGAAGCCTTTTAAGGATTACATGACCGACTTAAAATATCTGGGAAACTGGGAATTTGCAAATGCGGATATTTTTGTCAGAGCAAAAGAAGCATTTCAATGATGGAATCTTAATTTGATTTACTATGGCAGAGTAAAATTAGGGTGAGTGTTGATGGCAATAATTGATAATTCTTTTTTTTTTTTGTTTTTTTTTTTTCAAAGTAGTCGAAACACTTGCATGACTTCTAAATGAAATTTTTTGGAAATTGTAGAATTGAGCTATAGATGCTTTAGCCTAAGCCATTTTAATTCACTAAAAAAATTGTAAAATTGAATTTGTCATATTTTTCAATACATGCTTTTTACTATGCATTTTTTTATTCTTCTTAATCCACAGCATAAATAAAAAATGTATTATTTTAAGGAGTTACATGGGTTTATTCGGCGGAAAAAATACATTTTCAAATTTTTTTTTTTTTTTTTTTAAATAAAATATTTTATTCAAGCTATTAACTACCTAAAAGTTATACATTTGAAAAATAATATCTGAAATTTTCAAAGAAAATATTTAAAAATTCGCCACTGGGACGCTATTTCTGCTGACACCTCAGAGAAAATGAACATCTGCATAAAGGGGTTACATACAATAGGTCTTGAAGGCCAAAAAAAGCTTATTTTCTCTAATTTTTTTAAATGATACTAAATAAAATATACAATTTCATTTATTTACATATAAAAGTAAAATATGTGGACAACATTTGATGAAAATTTGAATGCATAATAGTATAAGTTAAGGCGTTGGCAGTGTCGTGAAGTAGACCATCCACGAGAAAGTGCTTTTGCCGTAGTCATGATAACTTTTTCAATTTTCATCTGAAATAAAAAATCCAAATTTTTTCTTAAATAAGGTGAATTTTCCTTGTCCCTGAGCGAAGAAAAATCAAAAAATATAAAATTGAGTTTTTTGTAGCGGTTTTTGCATACAATTAGACGACATATTGAGTTGAAATCAAAGATAAAATAAATCCTTCGTTCCGGGACTACAAAAACATACTTAAAAGAAATGTGGAAAATTTGAACTCGATCGCTTCAACAGTCGTTGGGAAATTTTGACTACCGATTTCGATAAAGTGATTTTAAGAAACACGCGTGTAAAGTGTCCCCATTGGTCAAACCCTGGCAAAGATGGCGGGTTATAAAACTCTCTAATTTCTACAGTTTCGTCTCCATCGACTTAAAACTTGAGGAGAATATTCCAGACACTTTGTACTTTTATACAAAATATTATCAAAAAAATTAATTTGTAACCTCTTAACAGTAGTACTCACGACATGATAATTCGAGGTGAAAAGACGAAAAATTGTGTTTAAGTTAATACTATAAACTAGAATTTAGGTGAAGAACCACAAAAAAAAAATTAATTCGATTTTTTTTGTTTTCAAAAATATGAAAACATTGAGGAAAATCGCTAAAAATTTTGATATTTCTTTAAGAGTTTTTTTTTTAAGCTTTAAAGCTGAATTCCTCGTCCAGTCTCCCGTGAATTATATCTCGCAGAACTGTGAAAAATATCATCAAGATCGGTTGAGTAGTTTTCTAGTCGATTGTCAAAGACTTTGAAAACACAGTTTCGAGAAAAAAGTGTGGAAACTCCAAAACTTTTGTTCGGGTCGAAAATGTGGTATAATATTTTCGAAAACTTGTAGATATTGGTTGGTTGGTTTGTTCAAAGAGGAAGATTGAAGAACAGGACAGCAAATGACCGCAACGAAGCCATCGAGCAGACTCATTCCCCATTTATCCCAAATAGTGATTTAAAAGTGACATCGCTTCGGTCTATGAGCTTTTGAAAACATCCTTGAAGTTTCGAGGTTTTTGAGCCTAATTTTTTTTTAGGGAGGAGGCCCATTTCTGCCTCTACTAATATGAAAACAAGCGAAATTGTCGCATTTGGGGCGAAGAGCAACCTGAAGAGTTTCAAGAGCAGCCATTTCACAGGAAAAAAGACGGTTTGACGTGGTTTGTAGGCCGGTGGAATCTTCAGTCCAAATTACTTTAAAAAAGATGCCAGTGAATGCATTAACCAATGTATTTAACGAGGGGAAACTTCGGTGAGCAGATAATATCACGTTTTGGGCCAGTCGACTGGCCATCAAGATCGTGTGATATCACGTGGTTAAACTTTTTCCGGAGAGGATATGTAAAGTCTAAAGTTTATGCGGACAATCCCGCTTCGATTCAGGCCTTGGAACATAACATCACGCGTGCCATTCGCTAATGACTAGTTGAAATGCTCAAAAGAGTCATCGAAAATTGGACTCATTGGATGGACTATCTGAGACGTAGCCGCGGCCAGCATTTGAAAGAGATAATCTTCAAAAAATAAATGCCAAAGAATTTTCCTTTGAATGATAATAAAAATTTCCCATTAAATATGAATTTTCTATGGTTATTTCTTTAAAAAAGTAGGGAACCTCGAAATGGATCACCTCTTA